TGGCAGATTGGACCAAAGGTATAGAACTGCCTTTAGAAGTCTTCATATGCCAAATCCATCCACTGAGTTTGGCCAGGAAACCAGTATGTCCAAGAAACAACATCGTTAATCCATTGAGGAAGGGTGCTAGTAGTACTCGTGATTTAAGGCAAGAGTGAGCATCACATCAGCTGGACTCTTCCTGCTGGAAGAGGCTTTGCAGGTTTCCTAACAACTTGCTTTTGTACTCTCAGATCGCTTTCATCTGTTTCTTTGCTCTGTTGTATGATTTGTGATGCGCCCTTCCCTCAGCCCTTGGATGTGCTTGGTCTAATCTTGTACCTTTTACGCTGGAGTCCCCCAGGCTGACCCACCAAAGCGCACGTGCCCAGCACTTAAAAGCAACGCGTGCACCGCAAGGCAGAGCTCGTGCAGAAACACGCCGCTCGAGGTTGTAATTCAAGCAGCTCCAAAGCTCCCCACATTCCGGGGTCTGCATTGTGCCGTTCAGATCAGTTGACATCACTGCCCGAGCTCTGGTTGTGCGCAGAAGTTAAGAGCCGTGGTACACCTCACCACAGGACAGCAAAGGTACTTCTAGAAAATGAAATTCTTAGTAAACTCTGGACAGAAAGCAACAAGAATAAAAGGTTCTTATTTAAGTTCTGCACTGGAGAAAAGAGAGCTGGTAGGCTGTGCAGATAAAAGTCTGATGTGCTTAAACATGAAAACAGTTCCTGGTGTCAGTACTCTTGTTTTCTTCTTCTTTCCCCCTCCACATCACTGTAGCCATTCCCCAAAACAGGCCATTAATCCCGCTTACAGCGAGCGACAGTCATTTCAGCTGCAAGAGCGAGGTCACCGATTTATGGAGGTTAGAGCTACGTTAGGGAGCATGAGATGAAGGGAGAGAGTTGACTGTTTTTCTCATTAACGTGAGCACGTTGTTTTCCTTTAAAGAAGGATTTTTAAAATACTGCTCTTAACAATCTTCACAGCAGCCACTAGCTTGAGCTGAGGAGCAGGACTGATGCGGAATGAGGGACAGAAAACGGGTGGAGGAGGAATCAAATGGCATAAACCAGAGTAATTTACAGTATGAGCAAGGGATAACAGTACTTGTAAAATAACAGAATAACCTGGTTTCAGTTAAGGAATACAGGAATTTGTGGGAAACATGATGATAGAAAAACGACTGGTTATTTGCCTCATTGTTTATTTAAACCTAAATCCCCATTTGAGACGGAACTAAAAGATGCACAACTAGTAACTGTATTTTAAAGCGTATGAGCAAGTATTTTTTAGGAAGGCTGGTATTTTGTGTTGCTCTGAGGGAACCCAGAGCAACCACGGACGACCTTCTCTGCTGACATGGCGTAACGCTAATAACAGAAGACAGAGCAAACCATCATTTGCAGCGTGAAGACCGACAGAGCCTTTGGAATCTACAGGTTTAAGAAAAGTGCTTCATTTCCTCTTTCTTTAGAAAAATCATGTGCAATGGAGCAAGCGTTTCTCATAGTCATCCATTAGTCCACCCATAGTCCACCTGTAGTACCTCAAACCACCACTATACCTTGGGATCTACAGAAGGCTTGGGGAGGTCCAGTCCAGTTCCTGCTGTCATAGAAAGCATTTCTTCATCCACCCCCAGGTCCTGAGTGAGAGGACTCTGGTCTCACTCCACTCGACGGAGGGTTTGTTTGGTGTCATTTCATTAGCACAAAGCCAGAGAACACATCGCCACCGGGTGTGTAACCAGAGCTGGCGGGTTTCAGGAGCAAAAGGAATTGCAAAGGCATCTCAAGGGATTGGATCAGTAGAGTCAACTGAAGGTGGTTCAGTACCAACAGAAAACACCTGAAAACAAGTATCTGCTTCTTTAAGTAATGAAGGGGAAAGGAGAGAAGAGAATCTAGCAATGGTTTTTATGGCACTCCTCTCATTAGCTGAGTGTTACCCTTACATACTTCAGGAGAAAGCAGAACTAAGACCTGGGAAAGGCAAATCACCCAATTAAGGATTTTCCTTCAAGTTGACAATAGAGCAGAGTTGAAAACAACTTTCGAAACAGTGAACTGTAGTTTGGGACATAGGTACCCTGAAAAGCACCACTTCTCAGTGCTTTGTAATAGCAGAAATCAAACGAAAATGGGGTTTCCTTCAGTCTCAGTTTGCACTTGGTTCATTGAAGATTCTTTTTTTGTGCAGGGCCTCTGACTGTGTGGCAACTCAGAGCACAGAATCAACGCCAGCCAGCTCGGCTGAACGTGTGGTTGATGGAACAGGATTCAGCTTGGGTAAGACAGGTGGGTACGGAAGTATGTACACAGGCAGCACGCGCTGCCAGTGTGCTCAACAGACAAGGGAAAAAACCATCACGCAATGTATCTCAGCGTTGCCTCGGGCACGCCACAAACTTCCAACAGACTCAAAGTCGGAAAACTGATTAAAAATCCAGGTTTGATTCCTAGCTCTGCAGAACCTGGGCCATTATTGCTCCTGCATAAAAAAAAAAAAAACGGGGAACACATTTCTTTACCTCCCCCTTATTACCTGCGAGGAGGGAAGATGTAAAGGTGCAGCTTGTAAATGGGCCTTGAGATCTTCACTGACAGAACCCTTTTGGGTTAAGGCAAGAAATCTGCTGCAAGGTTTGCCAGGGTGTTTGCCGAACAGAAGCCTGGACTCGGCGTCCAAGTTATTTGCCACGAAGAACTGTCATTTCAGCAGATACAAACTGTTGTACAGGGGAGTCACATCATCCCACCAGCTGCCTGAATCTTCTGCTCTGGGAAGAAGACAGACTAAGCTGTTAAACCCTTGCTTTGATCTAATACCTGGATTCAGAGGCCCATTAATTCCTTTTTTTTTAACAAATGCTTGAGCACAGGTCATGACTTGCCATTTGTGACGGGACAGCTTTAAAAAAAATGTGAGGGATAAATGTCAAGTGGTTCCAAACAGCCTTAGAAATGCCAAAGCAACATGTCCATTGTTTCTGTAGCTGTAACGGTCACAACGGCTGCGACCGCTTGCTACGCCCATTCTTGCCGGGCGTGGAACGCCCTGCCGGGCCACGCCGGTCCCTTACCACGCTGGTGCAGGGCGGCCAGTTCTCACGGGGCCGGAGCAGCGACTCCAGGCGTAACAAGTGAGGCTGCCTCCTGGACCGGTGTCTGTGTTGGCAACGGCGCTTTCAAGTAACCCAGTATCTGACGGTTTGTTTCCTAAACTGTTTTACCTCAAGAAGCTGGACAAAGACCAACAATAAATGAGAGGAGACGGAGACAAAGGAAGGTTGGTAGAAACAGGCAGGTGGTCTTTATTTCACGTGGCACAGCATTAGGCAGACAACCCGAGAAACAGTTTCTAACAAAAGCCAAAGCTATCGCTTCCAGGAACCATCCCCCAAAACAAGGCTCTACGGCCAACAGCGGCACTATGTCCCTGCCTGTCCACTCTCATCTCCGCATAGTCTGCGTGCGCGTAGGCCGTATCCTAGCTGAGAGCGTCCTTCCTGAGGAGACTGACGTCTCGGGAGACGGTACCTTTAGCCAGCGTACATACTGTGCAGTATCACCAAGTACAATCTCCTCAAGCCATGCTAAAACGTAATGCTAACTCCGGGGAAAAGGCTGCGCGACCGCCGCGCCTCTCTCTGAGGTAATACAACGCTGTTTGCTAGCTGACAACGCAAGGGGCACCTGAGGGAAGATCAATATGGCTTCAGACTCTGCTCTTAAACTCCTGGTGCAGCAGCGAGAACCTGGCGTGCCGTCTGCCGAGACGCAGGGCGAGTACCTCCTCCGCCCCCCGCAGCACCGGAGCCGAGCCCACCGTCACCGAGAGGGCTGAGAACACAGACGCTCTTGGACGAGGCGGGGGAGAGCTCAACCAAGGATCGCAGCGGGCCGTAACCTCTGCGTTGGCCATGAGGCGAGAGGTAAGCAATGACGGGGGGGTGGGGGGTGTTACGTAGTTGTTAGCACTCTGGATCAAAGGCATGAAGAATGGCTGGTGGAAGGAAGACGTTTTAGAGACTAAGGGCAAAGCTTTAAAAGCCTCGGGATATTACTTTTAATATTATCTACAGGTTATTCTCTCTATATATACTATTTCTCTTTCTAAATTAAGAAAATAAATATTTATTAACAAGTCACCGGGTCAAATCCTGCTCTCCACTGAAGCCAAATCCATTGACTTCAATGTGAGGGAGCCCTGTGTAAACAACGATGGGCAAATTTGGCCCTTTATGTCCTGAAAAGTCTGCTTGTACCCATTTCTTTCAATCCTACAAGGAAGTACAGACTGAAGGGTGAACTAATTGGTAAGAATTTCTCTCGATCTACCAGGGGAGAGAGTCAGCAAGATGCGGCAAAGGAGCAAGAAGAGGAAACAGGTAAGTAAGTACTGCTTTGAAGAGAATTTTTTCCATGTGTCAGAGCAAAAGTACGGAAGGAGAGTGGATCTGGATCAAGCGCTACTGGCCTTCGATTGTTAAGCAACCACAAAATCCTTCCTTTACCTTCAGTGAAACGGTCCACAATCAGAGAAAAGAGGAGGAACCAAATACTCCTTTTCCTCTGCAAACACCGCTTGCCCCAAGGTGAACACTGTCATCCCTCCGGATGCTCCGCTCCCTCCAACTGTCTGCACAGTGCAGTGTCAGCCACTGAAGACAAAACACGCCTGCTGCGCAGTGAGTAAAACCTGTGGTGTCTCAGATACAGCCAACTTAACGTTTTGAGTGCTGAAAAACACTAGGTGCTTTTAGACACAGAACAATACGGTTTTGGATGCATTTACCACTTTTATTTCACTATGCAGAAACATACATTCACCATGTGTTGTGATGCAGCTGACAGTGTGACGGACGCTATCCCTTCAGTGGGTATTAGAGCTGGACACTAACGAGCTTTCGGTGGACGTTCTGTACAGGTTAAGGCTTGACTCTGAACTAGATAGGAAATGCTGACCAGATTCTCAAACAGTTGGTGGTTTGTTTTTTTTTTTTTCCTTCTGAGAACGAAAGGGAAATCAATAGAAAACCATCGCGGTTATTTCAGATTAATAATTTTCTAATGCTGCAAACTAAGTAAAATACAGATTTTTTTTTTTTTTCTTCTCCAAAATAACTACATATAATTTACAAGGTTAGGATCTGTGAAGGGTGACTGGAAGCCGACTCTGACCAACGCTGACAAAAATCGTTAAAGTTAATATACTAAAATCATTACTACCTCATAAGGTATTCAGTCAGGTATACAAAGCACACTTTGTAAGCATTTAAATATTTTGATAAGAGTAAAGATCCGTCGTCGTTCACTGGGCAGTAATAAAACCAGATGAAACAAATATAAGATTCGAGTTGTTTACTGAATCAACTGTGTTATTGGCACATCTAATGTGTGGTAAAACATTATACACAGTACCTACACAGCTTCTAGCATCTGGGGGGGGTCATCTTCATTTACAATATCCGTAAACAAAAGGCTTGCCACCTAACAAATTTTTATTTGTTTAGACTTCCATAAACCGTGAAAGGCATGAACTGTTTATGTGTTACATGAGATCACTGTTTATATTGTTCATGAACGTGCAGGTATAGCTGAAAACTTAGACATTTTAAGAAAATTAAAAATGCTGCTTTTCTGTAATTTTATCGTTGCTTCATGCAATATTGTTTAGCTGCTGCTGATTCGGATTGCTTTCTAGGGGAAGGTATCTCTGCCAGTTTCTTTATTAACGGTCAAGATCAATTCTTCTGTACTGAAATTTTCCATAGACAGATACAAGTCAGTCAGGTTGGAACTGAGACTCCGTATAGGCTCTCGTATTCCTACTGGTGTGCATGTCTGGATTCATATGCAATCTAGGTTATTCCTGCAGGAAAGAGAACCGAGTTAATTACTCGATGCAACCACCCTCTTGCAGAAGAGATGTTGCCAATCTGTGCGCGTAACGAAAGCTACTTGACAACGGCATCATCCCAGTGTAAGCAACCTGGCCCAAATCCAAAGTCCACTGACGCCAACGGAAAGAATTAGTGACATCAACAGACTTTTACGCAAGCCACGTTATGTTGCCTCTGGAACACTTGGTGGAATACCACAAGAATCACAGCTACTCACTCCTCAGTGACTGGTTCCATCTTCCAAATAACTAACAGTTACCAAAATAGGTTTTTCTTTAGGGCCTCCATATCCAAAAGCAGGAGAGCGAAACAGCTTCAAAAGGTGCTGCGCATTATACTCTGTTACTTACACCAAACGTGAGGGAGTATACAGTTTTAAGAGTAAAACGCTGCTATCAATTGAAACAAATCAGACAAGCAGCTTTCCCGCCCCCCCTTCTGCATACAGCATTCAAAGCAATTTGTGCAACGGTGCTGGCATCAGTGGCTTTTGCATAGCGGGTTAGTAGGCATGACGTGTTTTTGCAGACAGAATAAATATAGTAAAGATTAAGACGTCTGTTTAGCCAGCCACAACGGGGGAGCATGCCTTTACTGAAAAGGGAAGCTTGACACGAGAAAAGCCGCATTATCATCTCACCCTGATAAACAATGCTGCTTTAAAACATAAAATGTTCTTTTGGATACAAGAAAGCCAAGACATCCGAATGCCGACACGCTCACGCACTGGGTTTAGAAGGAAAGTCAGAAGCAAGTTGGACCGTATCTTTGCAAGTTGGGAACTAACTTGTAACATATCTGCACAGGACATTTGAAAAAGCAGCTGTAGGTCTTTCCCTTGGCATTTTTAAACAAAATGCGTACCTTTAAGAACAAATTATTTTTGTTCTTAAATGACATAAAAGCAGACAACAGATTTTTTTTTGGTTTTTTTTTTTTTTTTCACTTTCCACGAAGATCATTAGACTACACCAAAGCATGGGCAATGAGAGCTCTCCAGAGAGCCAACGAAAGCAAATGAGTAGTTTTCTCTTCCTCCAGCTGGCACCATTCAACGAAGAAAGGTGTTTTGAGCTGAATGTGGTTGACATTCAAATACCAGAACTGATAACCAGCACAAATGCAACTTGCGAATGCCAGCGAGAGAAAGCAAGGAGTTAGAGGTGAACGATGGTAGGAAAACAACCTTTGCAACATGCCAGCCCAGTAAACGCCTAGGAAAATCATCTAGTCCTCTTACCTGTGGTCAATCCTCCCCATCTTCTGGTGTGATTTCTGTCTCTTTATGTACCACTACTTTGGTCACTGACATGTCAGGGTGCTGCTCTTTGGCTTCTTTAATTGCCTGAGCCAGCGCCTATCCCAAGGAAACCACAGAAGGGCAAAAACAAAAAGGAGGTGGAACATGCATGATCAGTAGCAAGGTGGAGAGATATCATGAGATATTACACAATCTACAAATGAGGAAAATGATTAAAATATGAAATATACCATCACTGCTTCAACTACTAATCCAGTTTAAGTTAAGGCATGCCTGTGTGAACAGTATCTCGTAAAGCAATGCTTAGAAACGCTCTCTCTGGCAGTCTGCAGGGTAGCCTTTAGCAGCTTATAGATTTTACCTGATCGTGATCGATATCTGCATCTCCTGTGATGACTATTCGCTTCTCAATTCTTGTCTCCGAGATGCCTCCTTTCACAGTCTAGATGGGAGGGACAAAGGCAGGTCAGTAACGTCCTGTCAAGAGCGCTGCCGCTGCTCATCCAGAGAACGATCGGTGCGGGAGCCCAGACAGGACTGGACTGAGCTGCCTCGAACAGCACGGGCAGAGGGGACAACCCAGGGCAGCTCGGGAGTTGGCCTGCTCTGCACAGACTAGATGACCTCCAGAGGTCCTTCCAACACAGACAACTTAGCGATTCTAACCACTCTGCACGTGTGCCACCAGAGATGTTTCCATGTCAGAAACAGCGGGTATCGATGCTAAATTCATCCCAGAAAAGAATGGACACACAGATGGCTCAGACTAAGACCTAGTTAAGTCCCACTGCAGGCCTCAGAAGGACGTACAGAGTGGGGTATGGCCTTTGCACAGCTCATCTACCCACGGGTGAATTTCACTGCAGAAAGATGAAATCCTGTCCCAAGTGAATACTGGCAGCAGAGCTGTCACTGCACTAAAAGCATTTCTGCTTAGACAGGAACTGTTATTTAGCAGCTATCTTGGAACTTGGAAGACCCAGCATCACTCATCTGTGCAGCCCTAAGCTTTCTGCCTGGCTGTGGGCAAGTTCCTTACAGTTCCACCCAGCCATGCAACCGTGGCGTCTGAGCTGACTGAACGCCCCGCGATGACTACATGACACAGGCTTACTACGTGTTTTCAACACCGTGCGGGAAAAACAGCTCAGGACTCAAAGGCAGTACAGTCATGCCAGTGGAGCCTCACGCTCAGGCAAATTATTCCTTTCTGGCTACCATATGACGCCGAGGTGGCCACACTGCTTGCAGTCCCAGACCGTATTCGCAGCTAAGTCAAGCGTCCCCGTACAGCAATGTTTTCTGCTTGCACAGACATACCCTAAGGCTTTATGACTTTGAGGACTCTTACCAAGTCCTTGGATGAGGTGTGAATGAAGGCAGTAAACCCAAAGATAGGAGAATGAAGACAGGTACCCAAAATGGACAAGATTTTGCCCAGAAAATATAAGCACGTGGCCACATGTTAAAATAAACAATAGAACTGAAGTTAAGAAAACATGCACCCTTGTGAAGAACAAAAAACCAAACCCTCCCCGTTTCCTGACAACTCACTTTGGTGATATGTGTAGTGGTTGTAGTGCTGGTAGTTTCAGATGTGATGGTTTGTGCACTCATCAATACACCTGGTTCCGAGTCAGCACCGCAATCCACCTAGGGAACCGAAAGAGAAAACCAGCCATAAAAAACATGTTCCCTCCTGAGCACAGGGAGGGAAGAACTGGACTGGCTGAACTTCCCTGTTCCTACAGTTCCTCATAAAGTGAGTGTCTAATGGTAGGGAAACAACTGCTAGCAGGGGGATCACGTGCCAGTACTTCTCTCTGCGTCTGGAGACTCCCCTTGGCTTCTGGAAGGACAGATGAGAGACTGGGGCTTTGAAATCTGTAGTTTCACCCATGTTCTCAAAAGGCCCTATACGAGGACCTACTGAAGGATATTCAAGGAACGCGTAGACGTGGCGCTTGAGGACATGGTCTAGTGGGTACGGTAGTGTTGGGTTGGTGGTTGGGCTGGATGGTCTGAGAGGGCTTTTCCAGCCTCAGTGGTTCTGTGATTCACGACATGAGTGTCACCCTCGGGCAAGCTATGCTTAACGTACATCCTCCTCATGCTGGTATTTAATACTTCAACAGTTTACACTAAGCCATGCACTTCAAGATGGGTGAAGAAGCACAAGTTCCTTAAGGCCACATGAAATGAGACCCTGGGTTTTGCAGAATTTCTTACCTGAGAAGACTCATACGTAATGGTTTTTGTTTCTGTATGGACTACGGGCACTTCCTTTGTTGAAATTTCAAGGTTTTCCCCACCTGGTGAAACACTACTGAAACTGATAGTCTCAGTCTTCACAACTGGTGACTGCGTGAACAAAAAGAGAAGGGAATTGGAACATTGAGTAAAGCTTCCGGATTTCTCCAAATATTTTTTTTTTCCTTGGGAAAATGAGGGGCGACAACTAAAAAGTGCTCTGCATTTAAAAGCACAAAAAGCAAAGAGACAATTCTCTTCCTTATAATGGTAGATCTATGTATTTAACGTTTAGCACTACCCTAGGTTTCATGAAAACAAACTTCAGAAACGATGTAAACTCTACAAGAAGCAACAGGCACAACCTTAAACACAGGAGGTTCCCTCTGAACATCAGGAAACACTTTTTCACCGTGAAGGTGACCCAGCACTGGCACAGGTTGCCCAGGGAGGCTGCGGAGTCTCCATCCCTGGAGATTTTCAAAAGCCATCTGGACTTGGTCCTGGGCCTTGGGCGGCCCTGCTTGAGCAGGGGGGTTGGACCAGATGACCTCCAACCTGTTCCTTCCAACCTCAGCCACGCCGTGATTATACATTTTTGTAAAATGACAAGAGAACGAGTTGTACTCGGGCTTAGTCTTCCATTCAGCCCTCGGGAAAAAGAGCCAGAACAAGTTTTTTTTAAAACCTCTGTGAAAATAATTCTTGAGATTCTGTTCATGGGGCTAAGAGAAGGAACCTGGGTTGTTTAAGACACGGTACGCTCGTTAACAACTGTACCAAGCATGGGAAAAAAACGCATTTTCTGTCTCTGCGGACACATAAGCTTTGCCAATCTTGACGGAGTTTCCCAAAGAGAATGCCAGCGGAATTCTTGTTACCCGTTGCACAAAAAGCCACCGAATTAGGTATTTCTCCATAGCGTGGAAAGCGCTTTCAGGGAAAATACGTGTGGCATTTTGCCAATAGTGGAACCCAGCAACAAGCCTTGCAGGTGCCATGCAAGGAGGAAATAAGAGGAGAAACCAACTGCCTGCTGTAGAGAGGTAACCACACAAGCTTGGCACATTTTGCTTTCCACAAGAGGAATTATCTGAGTCCACCCCTGCCTACGTTTACACTTCAGCACAGACACGATCGATGTAATAACGAGTTACCTCAAAATGAGGTTTTCTTTCCAAAGACTCTGCAAGGTGGACTGTTGTACCGTGCTCCTCCACCTGCTCACAGGGAGCAGCAGCGACTCCTTCTTGTTTGGTTACGGCTTTCCCAGCCTCCTCCCTTTTCTCCTCCTTCTCCCCCTCAGTCCCAGCAGAGCCCTCCTTCCCTTTCACGCCAGCAGCCGCCGCCGCCTCAGCCTGGGCATCCAGCACAAGTCCGGCCACCTTAGCGGGATCCCCGCTCGCATGCACGTCCATCCCCTGCCTCTCCTCGATAACCACGGTCTCCTGTACAACCTTCTTCACCATCTCCTGATGCGGCTGAGCTGCTTGCTTCATTTCACTGGAAGTGATCTCCTGAGATGTCGTCGTGTCTATTCTCTGCAGGGAAGGAGAAAGGAGAAAACCCCCCAGCCCTCAGTGTCAGAAGCAGACAGTGCGACTTGCAATAGCTGCTCAGCTTAATGTACGGTGAACATAAATAAAAAAATGGGTATTACATTTTGCCAATTTATTTCTCTCACGTTGCATGGGTTTTCGCTCCCATGTCATTACCGGGATAGAAGAAATGAGAAACGAAGCAAGCATCCCAATCTTCAGAAGTGAAGAGAGGTGCCCCCGTGTTTTTCTCTGGTATTTTTGCGTGAGTTTTATAAAGGCAAAATACAGCACCCCGCGAAATGACCAAACCAAAGTGAAATGAGACAAAACCTGTGAGCTTTGCTTTTCTTTTTGGTGAAGTTTCTATTGCGGTCTACGGTAACAAAGGAAAAGGCACACCAACACATGCGCCGGTTACGCAGGTTCCGCGTTACGCGTAAGAACAGGAAACAAAAGGAAAGCAGAAGTCACCGGTGGGCGGTTATAACACTGACGGAGGGAATCGAACGGCCACCTGAGCCCAGCTATGTGAAGTAGAAGTAACCCCTCCTATGAACTCGGTCGGTTTTCTGGCGGACTCTATTAGAGTGAAGATATCGGAACCATCCAAGGGTTTTTCACCGGTGGACTGTTTAGTCTAAACAGACAAAGAGATGTAGAGTCACACACAGGAGAAAGGCAGACCCACACGCACCGACGTATTAACTGCCGAAACCAGAGGCAGAGACGGAGGGAAGGGAGAGAAGGTTGCGGGAGCCAGGGGAGGTAGGAAACAGGAGAAGAATGGGAAAATAAACCGGAGCTAATTTGTAATGGCTGTAGTAAGCAACGGTTACGAAGCATAGGTGTTAGCGCTGGCGTTTTGCTGGTTCAAGCAAACCTTTGTTTTCCTTTTACTCACAAGCCACAGCAGCAATACCACGTTTCAGTAACAGGGATCTTTAAATAAACCGGGAAGGTTGAAAGCCGTATATAACGTCTGCCTCAGACCGTGGGACGGACTCAAAAGTATGAGGGGTGGGAAAACAAGAAGCTGGGTTGGCTGCTGCCAACAGAAAGCCAGGCAGCAAGAGAACCGAAAGGCAGGGCGGTGTGAGGGGGTTGCCTGAAAGAAGTCATGCTTTAATCTTTAAGCCGTGGCATGAGGTCAAGGCCACTTGTTACCACTACTGTTGACGCAGACGACTCGGTAACATAGTGAGCGGTAGCAATGGTAAGTGGCTGTTCTCTGGAATATCTCCACTCAGACAGGCTCTTATCTCTCCGGGCAAATGCCCCTGCTTTTACAGCTTCACTGCCAAGGTGTTTTTCTGCTTTGCCAAGCTGCAAGCTTCCCAGTGTACCATGTATCTGCAAATCCTGGTCCATCTTTAGTGTCTTTTTCAAACTCTCCTCTTCAGGACTTTGCAACTGGGATTCTGCTTCCTTTATGGGTGTCAGGGAGTCAGACAGCTTTCTTTTCGTGCTCTGCACGTCGGATCCCCGCCTGGCTTTCTCATCAGTGACAGCCTCGAGGATTTCATACTCGGCCACTACTGGAATGGTTTTCACAGATGCTTGCACTTCCCTTTCCATTTTTTGCAAAGCTTCTGCTGAAGGCTGCACTGTTTTCTCACCCTCTTTAGCTTTGCTTGTCATGGTTACGATTTTCCCGGATACGGTATCATAGGACTTTCCTAGGGTGAACATTTTCTGCTTATTCTCCTCTTTGGATTGTATTTCACTTTCCAAGTCCTCAAAGCTCTGCATTAGAACGGTACTGGATTTTAATAACTCAGGTGGAAAGGCAGTTTTACTGCTCACAGTCACTACTTTGTACGCCAGATTTTTTTTCGATTCACCATCAACTACCTCAGAGGGTATTTTGTCTATAATTACCCAATCCTCAGTGCCCTATATTTGAGATATAAAAGCTAAATTAGAATATCTGAAGGTTTATACCTACATCAGGAGCACTAAAGTATGAACTCTTATAAGACATCAATGCTGCCTCTTCTGATAGCACATAACGACTTTCACCACTGTACCTCTTTAGAGCCGTTATCAAAGAGCATCCCCTTAGGAAAAGTATGATTCCTTTGCAGATTCCCTCCCCTCAGACACCCCCATAACGTGGACACAGAAAGTTACTTTTCCCACACTGTTTCTGCAGTAATTTGAAGCGGGCTAGTGTTTTAATGCGACATTGAAAACGATGATTGGAATCATCCTGAGGTTAAAAATCATAGTTCCTAATGCTACAGTCAAAAAAAAAAAATTATAAAAATAGGGCAAATAAGCACCCAATTGTGACAGACTGTTGATGAGACTTTAGAACAGAATGCATCTGTATGTGGCTGTAGCCTGCGCTGAATTGCCTCGTTTTTGTAACATCAACCCCCTTCAGCTGTTAAAGCTGAGTAGCACAACGCAGTAAACGCCGCACTACTGCAGGTTCTGAACTGAACTCAATGCGGCATCTTTTTTTCCCCTTTATACAAACATGCTACGTGATTTGCTTTGGCTATGCAGTCAGCACCCAGCTATTTCACTTTAAGACCGTAACTGCAGTATCGAACTAAGCAAATGTGCTAGTTTAAAATGGAATGAATTAAAAATAACCTCTAGGGATGATGGGATACTTTTCTGGATAATGATTTGATGAGAAGTAACCAAAGTGCCAGCAGATTCTCCTTCCTGCAGCTTCTTCTCTATCACACTTGGCTAATAGAAAAACCAATAAGAATACAAAGTTCACCATCACTCGGCATAATCTGGATTCACTTGACAGCATATACAGGAAATTCATTCTAGTGACAGAGGTGCCCCATTCACCACAACGTTCTCAGTGAGGCTTTTGCTGGAAACGCATGCACAACTGCAAACAGCACCCGCAAACGGCACCATGCAAGTAGGTGCCTAACTAGCAGAGACATCAGTCTCTATTAGGGAGCCATAAGCTCTGGTGGGCACTCATCCCTCAGAATTTGGCCCCCAGATTACATCTCCCTCTGGAACTTACAAAATAAATAAGATTTTTAAAAGTGCTCAGAAAAGGAAAAAAAAAATACAGTAAGAAATGATTGCCAGCCTATCAGACCGCATTTCAAGAAAGTATGATTTGTTTTTACCTGCAATTCAAGGACTGTAGTACCTCCCTTCTGCAAAAATATGAGTTTTTCTGATTTTTCTCTTTCTTCTTTGGTCTAATGTCAGGGGAATAAATGGGTTTAGTAAATGGAGGGCATACAGTCCACTATACTTTACAATTGCTCATCATATTTCCCCACTCTATGAATTATTAATGGCATGGTAAATCAGAAAACAGAATTAAACAGAATAATCTTACAGCAAAGAAATTTCCAATAAGTGAAATCAGTGTCTCTGTGATGAAGGCAAAGGAGACACAAGCATACCATCTGAACAGCACGAAAACCACCAAACTGAATGAGCACCCGGGTGTGGATGCACTGTGTTCACTTCATCTCACGTCACTCATTTAACTGGGTCTGGTGCCACCTTACAGGCCCTCCTTCAACAGCCTGAAAACGGGTCCCTCCACCTTCAGCCCGGGCTTAGCTCCTCCCTGAGTCTGCAGCCTTCCCTGCTGCCGCGGGCGGAAGGTGTGCCCTCCCAAAGTTTCAGCTCTCCCTTTCTCCTTACAGGTGTAAGAGGTGTCAGAGTCGCCTGCCCACGCAGGAAGCTAACCACCGCCGTACTGTCCCTATAGTGCGACACCGAAATCCTCCTCACTTTCATCCCGTCAGTGCCTTCCCAGTGCTGTGAGAACAGCGGCTCCGCAACCTGACCGAATGGGAAAGTTTAAATGTGGGTAAGACTCAAATTTCCTAAGTCTTCTGAGCCCAGCTTCCGGGCTGGCCACCTTTTTTGTCTGGCTGCACCCTTCCCGCTCCCTCCACAGCTAGCGTACTCCTCAGACCTGCCAACGGAAGCACTCCAACTGGCATGGGAACAGGGCACCGTTGTACATGCGTGTGCTTGCTCCGTGTGCTCAAGAAGAACAGCAGATGTCTAAAGACAGGTACGAAACCAGAAAGCAGAGAAAGAAAGGGAGAAACGGCTCATCTCCTTGACTGCAGTGAGATGCTAACTTCTTTATTTCTGAAGCGCTGGTTGAATCCAACCCAGGCCAGACTAAGTATTGTCGAGGAGTTTGTTAACACGATGGCTTTCGTGTTCGGCAGCTCTCCGGCCACCATTACGGCAGACATTTAAAACTCCATTTTTCACACCTAAAGACACACAAAGCATTACCCCTATTACTTTAAGAAACCAACGGGTGACCAGACAGGCGTACAGCCAAACTGACTGAACATGCGCAGGTGCCGAGTGCTGAAAGCATGCGTTCCGAAAGGGCCTGTTTTCCCTTCTGTTCATGTTTTAGTACGTTGAAGAGCTACAGGCAACAGCGCTGAATACATTTCTGAAGCGGGCAGGCCAAGCTAAACGTGTAACTTCTCTGACGAGAAACAGCTACAACATAATGCAGTTCTACGTGCTCTCCATCCGGACTGCCTCCGCATCTCTCAGTAGATGTCAAGGTGCCGATTTTGACCGACGCACGGCTTCATTTTTTTCCTGAAAAAATTCCTCTCTCAGCAGGACATTTGAACAGACACCACCCCGCTCTGAAGGACCAAAAAGGACGGCCAGGTGTTACCTACACCAGGGGTCCCTTAGTCACCTCAGAGTTAGGCTCCAAGAGCTCAAATCCACATTTTTTCCACAGAAATACCTTCCTCTGGATGAGGTTCTGTGGGATGGCTGTAGTTTCCATAGATCCATATAAGATATAGCAAGTGGACAATGCTTGGGAGCAAGTCCTTTCCTTCCAGCAGAAGAGGTACCAGATAAGGATAACTCCTGCCCTTTTCCCTTCCAAATGAATGGCTAAATTCAGATGTGTTTCCTCGGGGTGAAGCCTACACAACTGTGTAATGCTTTGCTACTGCTTGTACATTTTAATTAAAAATGGTGACATTTCTGAATTACTACAGATGTGAAACGAACTGGGGGGTGGTTATAAGCTTGCTTCACCTGCACCCCTCTGATTCAGGCTCGGCTAGCCTGTCCTTTCCAACAGTCCCTTACATCTTTAACATGTTAAATGTATCCTGTTCGCTACGCTTATGATTTTACTTTCACGACAGAAACCCCATATTCTCAACTACAACCAAACTAACAATGTCATAGGATCAATCACGATTCCTGAACAAGGCAGGAGGAGCAACAGGAAGACTCCTCAGTGCTCCCTCCAAAAGGTAAGCTTTGGGCACCAAGTCTGCTTTTTAGGTCTTTGAATCCAACTGGATGGCCACTCCAGTGCGTGGTTAACGCCGGTGTCAGCCATTGGCCAGACGGGCATAATGTGGGAGAAGAGGAGCTGGGGCCTTTTCCTTGGCAACATCCCTCTTCCTGAGAGAAGCTGAGAGGTGCCATGTGGCTGCCTCCAGGGAGTCCCTCCCCTAGAGAGCCGAGGGTTGGTCATGCCAACCTCTACGGTGGGAAAACAGAAGACTCTCTTGAATTACATTTTCCAGCCAGTTTTTGCTGAGTTCCTTACAACATTACACCCGTACTGTGGGGACCGACGCTAATTTTATGACCGTGTATTGGTCTGCAATGCTAAAAACCAGTGGTAACCGTAAAGATGATTCCTGTGAGACAGAAACCAGATAGCCACCCACAAGAGAGTAAGATTAATCTTCATGCAGACCACACGAGCGTATTTCTTTTTGTTCCACTAGATTTAAACCAAGGCTGTCTGCTTTTTTTTTCCCAAGATCTATCTATTTCACAGCAACATGAATGTTACATTGTTACCTCTACATCTCCTTATCTACCCACAAACTAAATTAAAGGCAGCTTTTTAACTGACAAGTTTCTGGCAACCACTTTAAGACTGCACTGCGAGCAAGATTTTTTCATGCACGCACACTGCGTGAAAACGCATACACAGCGATCTCCAACAGAACGGTATCCAGCAGACTGCAGCAACTATTAGTTCCCTTACGGAATTGGCCAAATGGATCTAATTATCATCATTATTCCTTCCCTTTCTTCAAAGACTGAGGAGAGTTCTGCCCTTTGCTCTGTATTTTCTTGTCAAGCTTGGTACTGAGCCCCCAGTTGCCTTGCAACGCCGCTGCTCCCAACCAGTCACCACGATTTATATTTTCTCTCCATCACCTTCCTGGTTTCTTTCACGCATGGCTGGACTTCCTCAAGCTCAATCAACCTGTAAGGAAGCCTGCCTTTCGCACCCTCAGAGAGACCCAGTTCTGCCACAGGGCTTACAGTGAATTTCATACTCTAACTACATATATATATAACATACACTATATGTTATAATGCACAACTACATGTATATAATATATACAGTATATTATAATATACAACTCCCTCTATATTTCAAATATACACGTAAGGTACCTGTTCTTCCCTGCATGTTTGCCACTACAGCCTGAGTCCTGAGAAACAGGGAGCACATGCAAGTGAGGAATGGCCTCTAACTACGGCCTCTGAAACTATGGAGAGCTATTACAAACACAACTGAGCAGACAAATAGGTAATGAAGCCTTTCAGCTCACGCTGACCTCTTCAGGCACTAGTGGTTCAATCATAGGAGCCTCCTCCTGCCTTGCTGCAAGCCGAACGGGAGATGTGGAAAGCCTCTTCTCCCACTCATTCGACACAGCCGTTTCTGTGGAGGTTTCCAAGAAGGTGCGTTTCAGCTCGCTTATATTGGTCTGATGTTTCATCAGATCTTCCTGGGTTTTGTCTAGGTCCTGGACAGTTTTAAAAGAATAGAGCAGTTTGTAACACATCCTAAGCCAACCAACTTTTAGAGCCAAAACACACAGCTTGGTTAGTAAGGAGGGAAGTAACATCTCAGGGAGCCGGGGAGCACAGCACCAACACAACACTCTGTGAAAATGTGGCATTTTGAAAGATAACAGCATAGCATATCTCGTACAAGTGAGTATAAAAATACTCTTTAAGAGTCCACCTGTATCACTGTAATTTAGACCTGATAGAGAGGCTCCAAACAAACATACATATGCGCGTGGACGCACACACACATACGTGCACGCATATATATATATTTATAGTATAAGTTAGAGGAGTCATCATAATCTGAGGAAAAAAACCGCATCTATTGGATTTATTAGCAGGTGGGAATACACAGGTCATGCATCATAGTGCAGATTCACAGTTTACCACTAGAACTAACACACATGTACGTACATGCACTGGTATATACCAATACCAACCTCTAACATAAGATTACTATGTTTGACATACACATTTTCACCCTGTATTCGCTTAATCAGACTATTCTGAAAGAAGTGAAAAAAGAAAGGGAAAGGTAAGGGACACAGTATTGAAAGGATACAAAATGCTGTTTCTACACATTTCTTCACAGAGAACCAACAACAACATGCTGAGAGGTGAACACCTCCAACAACGACACTTGAGCAACACCTGGGCCTTGCGTTTCTGTACCTGTGCCTTCAGATCTCCGTCCTCCTCTTGATCCGACTGCCAGCATGAGAAAGATTGGAAAACAACACCTTATCCACCCGTACAACCGCAGGCTTTACCAAAATTGGTGAGAGGATCACGCTAGGTTAAGGTGGCATTTTCCCTACGTTAAGGGCTTAAGGAGCAGACACACAGGTTGACTTTGCACCGTTCCCCTAGCTCAGAGCAAGCCTCCTCTTATCAAACTTGTCAATTGTGAACAAAGGAGTAGTAAACATTTTCCTTTGATGAATACCACAGGCATGCCCCTCGTCCATAGATCTCTACGTGGGGAGCAGCAGTCAGGCCTTCTCACCGATGTCGCTGCTGCTTTAGGACGGACTGAACGGCAACAGCAAATTCTTTGGAAGCCCATCATCCCAGAGTTTAAATACACGACAGCTCCTGGGCCACGGGCAAAGCTCTGCATAAACTCACCGTGGGTAAATGACCTGCAGTGCTTTCCAGGGAAGGGGGCACGCTTTACTTGCTTTAAATGCTATTTCCCTAACCTCAGTCCCTTTCTGTATTTAAGTAATTTTACTGCGTATTTAGGCTGCATATACTCTTTCAGGATGTCCCTGCCCTGGTGGTCTTCTGGAGTGGCACGCACCCCACATTCACTTCGGCAAAAGCAAACGCAGTAGGGACTGCCCAAGCAGCCCCATTTCCGAGGGCCGAGTTTCCAGATGGCAAGTACAACCACATGTTTCGAAACTCAGGTATCCGTAAGGAAAACTGAGGTTCACAAAATCTTCTCCCCTAAAATAAAGATGGCAAGGCAGGGAGATCATCATGCGTTTCTGACTGATAAACTGAGCATTGCAAAGGTTTCAGAATGACGTCTCGCTTCTGGTATGGCTCGAGGCCTGAAGCTATAGGCTGCAAGAGGCACTTCAAAGCATCGTGTACTCCTGACTAGTCTCAACAAGCTTTACGTTCTTCCTCCATTTGCATGCTGGTGCCACTATTTTATTGTTAATTTTTCATAGAGACCTAATTAGTCGAATGACCTATGGGAAAATCTTTATCTGTTGATAACTCAGTTCAAATCTATTTTATTTACAGCCACGGCCGCATTGCCCTGACAGAGAATTTTTCCTTGACGATAGTTTTAACGGTCTGAAATATTAACGAGATCCTACTGAAAACCTACAGGAGCATTTGTGGTAAGACTCTGCCTTCTACCAGATGTCAGACCAAATTCAGCTCACGTTTGCAGCTGCAGCCATACTAATTATGAAAGCATTATACGCACTTCACTGGAGTGACATAGGGCTGAACCTGCCTGCACAGTCCATATACCGTGCTGCGGACATGAGACTTTTCAGAGCAAAAATAAGAATATTTTACGTCCCTCCTCTGAAGACGATACCTGGACTACTGGTGGCAAGATGACACATGAAATTACATTTAAGGAATCATAGAACTGTAGAGTCACAGAATGGTTTGGGTTGGAAAGGCCCTTAAAGACCATCTAGTTCCAACCCCCCTGCCATGGGCAGGGACACCTTCCACTAGACCAGGTTGCTCAAAGCCTCATCCAGCCTGGCCTTGAACACGTCCAGGGATGGGGCATCCACAGCTTCTCCGGGCAACCTGTTCCAGTGCCTCACCACCCTCTCTGGGAAGAACTTCTTCCTTATATCCTTAGATATTTATGATGTGGAAACACCTTTATCCAGAAAATTTGGAAACTGCTTTCTACTCTCTTGCCCCCCTCCCCTCTCTCCCGCACAGGCTGCAGATTATCAGAGCAAACAAGCAAACAGGAAAACCCAGGGCACACCTGGCCAGCGTGACCACTCGGGTGGGCGGCGCTGGCGTGGGTGACACTGCCACCTCCCTGCTCCCTGCCCTGCACAGAGCCTTGTAGTTCCCAAACCAAACAAGGAAATCCGAGGAAGCTGTGGGGAGCACTGGAAACCCAATGCCCCGAGCAGCGCTCCCACGCTCCGCGCACATGCACGCGCGCAGGGGACGACGACACCCTGCACCGCCGTAGGAGACGTGCGGTTTAGCCCTCATGCCCAGGGTGGGGAGGAGATGGGGCAGAGCACTCTCCCTTGCCGTAACGGGGTGCCGGCGACTGTACAAACCTCGGTGGCAGTGGTCTCACCATCAGCTGCAGTGTCCGTCTGCTCACTGTCAGTCTGCTTGGTTAGACAAGTAACCAGGTCCCAAGAGGAAGGCAGGAATAAAGAATAAACCCAGCTCATCAGTACACGCGGCTCACACGGGGAAGCCTGAGATTCAACATCCCTGTGAACTGCATTAGCATCGCTTTTCAAACCACGCACAAGTCAAAGAAGCAAAATAAAAATGCTATATTAGTAAACAGAACAGACTCAGAGGAAGACTCGAGGCGTACTGTACACAGTATATGGCTTTACTGGAACAAATTTATAAGCCAAACAAAACATTGATGGGAAAGTGTTATTTGAATAGCAGATTTTTTTTTTTTCCTTAAGAAAGCCAGGTAGCTTTAAAAAACTGGAGTAAAAAAGAAAAAAAGCTAGTATTTTCTAAACAAACTTTTCCTCCCATGATGTTTTTTTAAAAATTGTTCATCAAATTTTTGTTCTAGCCAATAGATTAATGTGGTGGCTGACTTTTTAGCCAGAGGGGGAAAAGATAATTAAAAAAAAAAACACAAACAAAAAATTAGGCTACTTTAACAGTCACCTGACTTTCAGCCCCTCATTTGTACAGAAGTTGGTTTTGTCTCCACATTTATACACCATGAGGCTGTCTGCATTACCAAGGAGTTCAAATAACCATACCCCCAGCCCATCTACTGTCTGCCTGTGGAGGATCGGTAAGGCTCACATCCCCACTCGGTTCCAATAAAGAGCAGTTGATATTGTTAACGACAGTAAAAAGAAAGAAAACTGCCATTAAAAGAATCAAAAGTACTTCTCATTCCATTTAAGAATACGGATGAAAGCGGGAGAAAAATAAAAGTAACTCCCCCCTCCCGCCCAAAAACACTTACTAGGTACGAGTGATAAAAAGGAAACAAAGCACAGCATTGCACAGACTGATCTATCCCTGCTCTGCTCGACAGCGTGAAGAACGCTTCAGCGGAGAACGCAGGTGCCGAGATACAATAAACAGGGAGTCAAGCGTAGGTTACTACAGGCTGAGAAGAGAGTTCCAATGACTATTTTTGATGTTATGCCAGCATATGGAAAACTAGGAGGTAAAGAGGCAGGAAGGAGCACTGCCCCAGGCTGGCACACCCAAGTTGTTTTAACAGCAGTGAAAGCTCTGGTTTTGATTAGTGATGTCCTCAGATAATCTATAGTACCCCGGGCAGGTAATTTAAAGCTAGGACAATACATCTCATCCTCGAATCACGTCAGTACGAAGCGAGAGAATAAAGGAACCGACTGGTGAATAGAGTATCAGCCTTAGCTTTGAATTTCCCATCTTCTGTCATTTTCTGACAATGCCAATGTTTCATAAAACTCCTCTATTTGTATTTTTCCACTGCTTTCTCTTCTATCATTCCTTCCTTTGAATAATTTGTATCGGTTGTATGACAGGCAGAAGAATAAGCAGGCATTTTGCCCTCTTCCGTAAGTGCATGAAGGCAGGTTACAGGCAATTTGTCAAGCAATAAGCACTCACTAGACAGATCGCTTTCATTTTTTGCTGAAATTGTAATCCCAAATAGTCCACCTAGCTGGTCAAACTGCTGTCACTGAAGTGCTAGAAAACTGTTTCCCTATTAATGAAGAATCTCACATTTTTATAACGCTACAAGCAATCGTAATGGTATGGCAATATAAAAAAAAAATTCAGGCATTGTCACTGCTATTTACAAAAAAAGAGGTATTAATGAATATAGGCATTTAAAAGGAATTAAAAGATTTGTGTCAAGGCACTGTAAGGCCTGAGTCTGGCACATAGGGTTCATTTAAGAACCCGAATTTGGGAACATCAGAGAAAAGTCAATAGAAGTACGAGCTGCTAAGGTGCAAGCACAGAAGGTAATGAAATCTAAGGGAGGCGATTCCGTCTCTGACGGCACGGACTGCCTCCAGATGCACTGCTCAAGGGAGAGCAGAGCTCAACAGGGTACGAGAGTGGTTCAGGATACCGGCTGTAGCCTTCTGCATCACTGTGTGCAATCTCCTGTGAACTGGGTGGGGGGAGGTTTCTATTTCTTTTGCCATAACAGTGATGACATCCTGAATAAGGCATAAAATTTGCTTTGTTACAACACAGATCGGTTTGGGTTGGAAGGGACAATAAAGATCATCTAGTTCCACCCCCCCTGCCATGGGCAGGGACACCTTCCACTAGACCAGGTTGCTCAAAGCCTCATCCAGCCTGGCCTTGAACACTTCCAGGGATGGGGCATCCACAGCTTCTCTGGGCAGCCTGTGCCAGTGCCTCACAACCCTCTCCGTGAAGAACTTCTTCCTGCTATGTCTGCTAACGAGCCAATCAACAGCCATGGAGTCGAGGTCAGCATTACTGAGTTACGTGAAATAAATATCTGGGGTTATCGCAGAGCAGGGAATGGCGAATTAAGGCTGACCAAGGCCGGTCTCCACCGGGGTGGCGTGTGAGAAAGGTTGGGCTCAACTCCCGAGCCGGGCTGTAATGCAGCTGCTGGTGGGGCTCGTGGGCAGGCGAGGGATGGAGCCCGAAGGGAAGGCAGCTATCTCCCGGGATATTGTGCTGCGGCTGCACCTCCTCTAACTTGCGATTGTAATTGCTGTGATTTGTTTTGCCAATGTAATGCAGACATGCCCAAGTTTAAAACATACTCACTTTCATGCAATATTTTGAACAAGAAATACCCCCTGGATTAGGCACAAGTCTGTGTTGTCTGCCAGGAAGCGCTGCCAGAGTAATCACCCTCATAAAAGAGCGACACTAAAAAGCCTATTTTATACGTTTTTTTATGCTCCATACTTCCTAACTTTACTAATGAAAAGAAATGCTCATTTCTGAAAGGGGAACAGACCAATGTATTACATAAACACTGCCTCTTTATTGCCTCTGGAGCTGGCACTGTATTCATGCTGTTATTGCTATTAAATTAATCCAAGTGCGGAGCTAATGCAAAATGAGGCCCAAATGCTATGTCAGAATGAGGACACAAAATGAGACAGCAGCATTTTGGATGCCTTTTATCAGAAATTGCACATTATTATTTAGTTGTTAGGCATTGCAGAGCCAAAAGCATCTGAAGACAATGTTTTTACAAGACAAACTGATGCGACTTTTGGCTTTCCATAAAAAGGAAATGAAACCCTGTACCAAGTCTTACAAAACCAACAGCGGCAGATTACACAAACGTTTAGATGTGCGAGCTGGTTTACCGAAGGCAATTGCTGCAACAGCATCGACGAGTGGCCAAGAAGCTTTTTTACAAACGGCGCACTGGTCTGAGATGCTCTGATCTGGGTTGGCTTTTTTTTTCTTTTAACATACAAAGCAAAACCGTATTTTTGCACTTGAAGATGAAGGGGGAGAAGGAAAACCGAGGAAATAATGAACTCGTTATTTCAGTCTGCCAACAAAGAACAGCTAGGCACCAGCAAAAACTGAGATGCCAGTTACTGTTACTTAAACAAGCAGATTCCTTTCCTTCTTCTGGATATATTAGCACATCCACAGTTCCCAGAACCACTGTGGACTCCTCTTCTCCTGCAGTTGGTTTATCTGCCTGTGATAACCAGTGGCTTGAGGCATCATTTTTGCCAGTGCACACTGAACACTGCAAATGGCCCACGTGGCAGGCTCCTCCAACAGCTGTGGAACAGCTGCCCCAGTCTGACCTCTCAATGATAACGCTGGATTTAAGCATGGGAAAACAATCTCATCTGCAGCAGAGATGGGAGCAAGGCTGCAAATCCAGAGCCAGGTTTCGCTGGACCAGAAAGCCTTTTCGGAGTTGGGGCTACCGCTGATAGCCTCTTGCAAAAAGCTGAGTACACCTGGATTTTGAACGTGCTGAAGTTGGTGAGGGTGCCTATTACGACCGGGTAGCTAGTCGTATAAATATAATGTATAAACATGCACATATATATGCATGCATGTGTAATTATGCAGGAAATTGCACTTACTACACATTATTTAGATGACGATGCTAACCCTGGCGTAAACTGGTAGGGGGAAGAAAAAGGTCTTGGTGGGTTCAGATACAATACTTCAGAGGTATCAGTGGCAATTTGTTTAGTGCCAGTCACTTTGCATCAGCTGACACAGTTCAAACCAAGCCACTTCCACACAGTGTTGTGCCTAACCCTGGGCCCCAAGCTGCACTCCCAACACGAGAAAATAATTAAAAGGAAGGACCAACCCCCAAACCAAAAAAAACCAAAAAACCAAAAACGAACCCCAAAACACCCCTTGTAACAGATCAGCACAGACAGAAATGAGGCTCTGAAAGTAGGACCACTATTGCAGCAATCTAACACTGGTTAGGACTGAAGCACTGAACACGAGAAAGAGCGTGTTCAATGCCGAGGTACACACCTCTTCCTCTGAACTGTCACTCAGGTCATTGGCAAGTGAGGCACTCAAGGAGGCCGCCTTGGGCTCCAGGTAGCAGAGGCACATAGCCAGAGGAAAGGAGAGAGTGAGGGCGTATGGCACTGAGAAAGAGGCAGAGAGCAGAAAGAAAAAGATGAAGAGGAAGCAAGGCACCAGGGAGGGGGAGCGGATGGGAAGGTAGTGCTGCACGCTGGCAGGCAGGAGGTTGGTTTCGGAGAGGTTAGGGAGCGACAGGTAGCCGTCGTCATCCAGGAGGGAAGGAAATGACTCTGGAAGTTGCAAGGAGAAGGAAAACAGCGTTCCGCCTTTGCCGGCTTTTTGCTTATAGCCGAAAGCCACGTCTTGCTCGGCAGAGCAAACTCGGCCCTTTCTGTCAGAGTCTGGCTCCGACTCGCCGTGCTTTGGAGCGCTCTCCTGGGGCGCCTCACAACCCGGGGGCTTTGTTCGGGCGCTCTCCTTGCATCTCCTGCGAAGCTTTGCTGAAGATACATGGGGGCCAGGCTGCGAGGATGGCGAGGGGTGGCGGGAGTCAGTGCCAAGCAAAGGTGGCTGGTGACAGAGAAAGAGCAGCAAACAAGGCGCGAAAGCAAAAGGACAAAAAGAAAACTGTAATTAGTTAATTTTCTTCCGTGAGGATCAGTAATATATATATATATAT